CCTAAACGTTGTAGTTCTTTTCAGCACTATTTTTTGATCATAATCAATAACCTACCCCCAACCCAATCAAAAACTGTTATTAAGAAATCTGTGCAGATTTTTAATACGTTTTGGTATAAAATTTGTTTGCTAGCTAACGAGTTATAGATCACAGTCAGCTTTTTGGATATTCGCCGCGTGCCTATAAATAGTGTGTTCTGTTTATGTTTATTACATTTATTTCAGGTGCGTTTTCTAAATCAATCTTATCGTATATTATTCTTATTTATTTTCTATTTTAGGCTTTTAATTTTTTTCTAAATCCATAAATGTTATCAGCAAACTATATCAAAACAAATGTGGTATTAAATATTTTCCTATTGCATTTCAAATATACGCCAGCAGTATAACTTTGACACAAGCTACCACTGTTTAAACGTATTCGGAATATACAAGTTTTAGGTTAAAAGGAATGTCAATCATATTATATTTTTATTTTACTTTTTGTTACTTTTCAAAATATAACCAAATATGCTGATTTAAAAGATTGAATGTCGAAAACTTTAGGAAAAACCAAAAATCACCAATCATTTCATTCTAGCCTCATTAAAACAAGTATGTGAGGGATATCACAGACGTATTGTAGACCTAGAAAATAAGAAATTTGACCTCGAAAAGGAAGTGGAATTCAGAGATTTTCAGGTAGAAAATGGAGGGCATGATGACATTTATTTGCACAAGCGTAGAGTAATATAACATCACACGTCTTATTTTTAGAGCTTTTTGCACAAAGGTGTTAAGTATCGAAGATGGAATTTTTAATTTTTGAATGGCCGTTCTATAAAACACACTTTAAATAACATTTTGTGTACTCACTGGTGACAAAGAAAGTTAACATTTATAACGTTTTTGAAATTTTCGGACATTTTTCCTCACATTTTACCACGCTTATAACAAAATGGTTTATTAATAAATACATTTATTATTACAAATTTTAAAATTATATTTCACTTAAAATTGTTACATTCACTTCTAATGCATCAATTTTTCTCATCATTCAGACAGCTAATAAACTTTTTCTATAGGCTTGATATTGATTTATATATTTTCCTTAGAAATAAACTCATTCGTTTTAAATGCGTTTTAAACTAATATAATTTTAAGTATATAGTTATTGATTTTATTTTAATTTTCCAATATTTACACTCATAATTACAGTTTGTGAATTGTCAATTGGTTAACATCTATTTTATGTATTATTCGTTGAAAGTTTTAAGCAACAAAATTGAAAGCATTATTTGCTTAAATAAAATATTTTAAAAATTCAAAAGGTCCTTATAGTATTGTCTCTTTGGTTTCCTCTTTCTCTCTTCTTTTTTCTTATATATCTAATTTGGTCCGGTTAATTCGAATGAGTTTTTATTGAGTTCTTAGACCCTAAAAAGCCTAAACTTTTACTGGCATTCTCTATACTTCTTATAATGTTTTTCGATCATTGACTTTTCTTCTCTTACAACGTTTTTCGTAATAAGTTAGTTAGGCATACATGAAATAATTTCCAAAAAATACATATAAATTATATAAGGTATACTAGTGTTGCTACATAAGCTTTACAGCTTTTTTAGTTTTCATACCGATTTCACTTATTATTTTATTTATTAATTTATTTACTTGATTATAATAACCAAAAAAAGCTTTATATTGGAAGCATTCTTTGCAACCATTTTGTTATAATCTAAAGCACAAAACACATTTTTAAACATACATGTTAACTTTCGCTCAATTTTTGGACTTTTTATACTTATACTTCGAGATTTTTGTAAATACTCTTTATGTATTTTTTCTACGAAAATTTTTCAGAATTTTGCTTCTTGCTTTTCGCTTAGTCCAGCCATTTCCTACTGAAATACTATTTCTTCGGACGTAATTAAAAATACGTTATTTTCAATTTTTTGTTCATTCTGAAAATAATAAATAATTTTTGTAATCAGAAATGCAAATATAGGGAAATAGCTGTTGTAGATCAGGTTGTAGGTTTACAATAATTGTTTCCCCTATACGTCACAGATATTCTATATTCAGAATAAAGCACAAAGTATTCAACATACAATCTAACTTCATAAACCCAGGTTTATGAAGTACCTATCCACGTACTGTACACAAAAAAAAACAAGCAAATTTAGGATTCACCAATAAAAAATGACAGATATCTCAAAAATCTGTATTTTAAAGTTAGAAAATGTAGTATTTTGTGCGTTCTTCTGGTTATGAATATTTTTGATATAGCAAAAGTTCATTTGGGCTTTACACAAACACACGCTTACTGGTACCACTTCAACATGGTCTCGACAAACTGATAATATCGACTGTCTCTTCTAGCTGAGCTACAAACGGTTTGTAGAGGTTATCATGAGAAAATTGCCAAACTCGAAGGGGATAAATATGATTTAGAAGTTATCGAACGTATCAAAGCCCAGGAGGTACAAATTATACACGATACACAGGCCTTGTTGCGTTTTTCTTTCTTTTTCTTTTCAATTATTTAGGTCGCAATTAAGGAATGGCATTTTTTAAAATTGATAGAGGCAATATCAAACAATAATAACCTCCTATTTACTGTATTTTGGCATTGACTGTTATTTTTCATATATTTTTTAAATAAAACAAAATATTCTTTAAGTTTTACTAGAACTGGAACAAATCAGTTTATAGATGTATATTAAACATTACAGAATATCACGGAAGGATCTATTTTCTATAAAATTAACTGAAATCTGACTAAATTAAATATTTCGACATTTTCGGTAGTGTCTAATTTACTACAAATTATAATATTTATGATTTTATTGGTGACTTTAAAAATATAAAAGTCTATTAAAAATTAACTGCCTTCAGATGGTTTGGACTTGACAAAGCATAGAGGTTATTATTCTTTGAATTACCACTGTTGTGAATTGCAATGTATATATTTTGCCAAGCTATTTATATTTAGGGCTGTTTCCGACGATAAAAAAATTACACCGATTCTTCTACACATGTGTACATATTTTCTTATTTCACATTACTCAAAAATAATAAAGAAACATTTTTAAATAAAGGTTTACTTTTAATTCAAATAATAACATTTATTTTCTACACAATTTCTAAATAATTACGTGCCCCTTATTTTAAAGAGTAAACCTGGACAAAGTCCAAAAAAGTAGATTGACATGGCGTGGCTTGTATATCATCAATTGACAGTAAAAGTCACACAGAATTTTTTTGTAACGGTTATAATTTTACTTGTTTCTACCGGTTACAAAAATATCACACTTTCATCACCCATTTTGTATTAAATTTAATTTATTTTTTGGTATAATAATCAATAATTCCATTTAAATGTATAGTTTACCATCGAAAATATAATAACGGAATAATAATAGTTGCAGCAATAGCATGCACTAATTCTTTAACTATGTTAATAAGTTTGACTCTTTTTTTGTAACTACTTTTCTCTGACGTTACAGGCATACGGTTGACGTTTCAATACGCCTTACAATACAGTAAGCCTTCACCGTTGGTGTTGATATTCTCTTGATCGTTTGGCAGAAGTCTGCCTCTTTCAGGTCCAAATACCACATCAAGGTGAAACATAACGATTGGAATGGCCTCTTTCAAATGTTTGCTATCCTTTTCCCCATTTTATATTGATTCTAATTTTAAAAATGTAATCATTGTGTCTGTTGAGATAAGCAGCCATCATTCAGGTTGCAGTGGCACAGGATAATGTGCGTTTATCTTACGTGTTGATATTCTATTGATTCCCTGGCTGCCCTATCTGCCCGGCTCAAACCACATTACCACGGCACAAGTGAAATAACACCTCATAAATATATAGTGATACATATATACATAGTGAATATGTATAAGTGATTGGATTTTTTTCGTTCTCAAGTACTAACTCAAATGGTGGGAAGGTGATGCAGTTACTATTTACAATTATATCCATATACAGTTTCCGGAAGTCTGGTTAGTACTTGTCCTCGGCGGTGGCATGTCTTCTTAAGGTCCTTCCTTTGCTCTGTTGTTCGAACTTTGGATAGTGATTAATATGTATCTTTTTCTAATCATATCATATATATTTGGGATATTCGCTATTTGGTGTATTAATGCTGACAGATAATCAAGTTTCTGCCGAGCATTCTCCTCAGCATTTTTCTCTATGTTGCCATGATTTAGTTAATTGAACATTGTGTTAAGGTTATGTAGAATCTGGCTCTGTATTTAATAATTGGTCTTATAAAGGATTTTAATGTATAAAGGAAAGTAATACGGTTGACGTTCACAGTAAGTGCTTTTGGGAGGTTGATTCTGTTTCTTACCATGTTAAGGGTGTTTCTCAGTTCAATGTTCTTTGAAAATTCGATAAACAATACAAAAGATCTGAAATCGAATTGGGATTTCTAAATAAGATCAGTTTAATGTTAGCTGGATTGAGAGTTACTCTCCAGTTGTTGCACCACTTACCTATGGAGTTGAGTTGTGATTGTGCCTTCTCGAACAAGTTATCTACAGTAGTCCTGTGGAAAGGACATCCGTGTCGTCAGCTCTGGACTATATCACATTCATTCCAAATATTTGTTTTGTATGAAATGTAACAAGCTTTTACATCAGTTCGATTTCACTGTTTTTGGGTACAAAATGTCGTCAATCAACGGTTTTATCTATAAACTTGCAGGAATTTCTACTCTTTAATTTTATTTCTGGACTACATATCACATGAATTCCATATGTCATTTGTATAAAATATTAAGATTTTACTTCAGTTCATTTTCAGTATTTTTGAGCTCTACCCCTTTTAGTCTTTTGTGATTGTATAATGGTAACACAATTTAATAAACTGTGAATAGTTTTATAACAATTAAAAATTTTTGAGTAACGTTGAAATAAGAATAACAGGTATGAAGGTAAAATATCCGGGCCAAAAAAAGTGTAGTTCGTATATATTTTTGCTGACTGCTGGTTCCGTTTCCGATTTCTAGGGACACTTAAGAAGATTTGCAAAGACTATTATGACCGCATGTATATATGTGAAGAACAGAAGTGGGATTTGGAACGTGAAGTTAGAAAACGGGATTGGGAGGTATCTTAACACTCACACCATCTGTTATAATTCCACTTGTTTTGTGCTTCATATCATACATTATATACATATTAAAAATGAAATGGTAGCTGTTGACGATTTGCTTAAAAATTCCCATAACATACAATTATATATGAGAAAAATTTAAATAATCTAAAAAAATCAATAATACAGCAATTCATAGCAATTGCATAGTTATCCATAGCAACCTAGAAAAAGAATTATATGTCACTAGTATATTATTAATATAATTATTTAGTCTGTTTGTCCTATTATGCTAATTCACTGCTAGTTATATCAATCTAGTATTTTACAATATTCCTGTTTGACTCTACTATCTCTTAATCATGTTACTTTTTAATCTTACTACAACTTAATGTCTTTATTTTCATATAGCCTCGATTAAGGTTTTTCACATTTAATCGCTTTTCTTTTTTAGATATTTTGTCTTTATGTGCAACAGTCTAACTGATTATCCTGTTCTCTGATCTCCTCCTTTAACAGTAACTACTTTCATTCTGCCAATTGTACGTTATCATGTTCGATATTATTAGTATGGTATTTGGCCTAACGCACTTCCAATGTCAATACAAATATGTACTATTAAATATATTGTTACACCTAGATATTCGTTGCACACGGTTATTTCCATTTTAGTGCCAATTTTTGTTTGTTTCCATATTTTTTACTCGGGTTACATCTACAGTTTTGATAGAACTTCTCTATTAATGGGCTATAATTTTCCTATTAAAATAATATCAACAAAACTACATGTTAATGAGTAATATGTGTATAAATATGGAATGAACGTGAATCGTCAACCATGCAAAACATACCTATACATATTCACAATCCAACTGATTCTTATGTTGTGTATACTAAATATTATTTAATAGTAAATACATGAAGTGTTAAGCCGTAGTGTCCCTCTCCTGATCCATTTTGTCAGCTCTCAGCAGCCTCAGTTCTGACAATCATTACATGTCACATTTCTATCAAAGTAAATGTCGAAAAGAAGCTTGCAAGTCAACCCCCACTATACCTGATGCTTGTGCTTCCCCGCAATGCTTTTCATCTGCTTCTCACTTTCTGTTATTTAATATATATTTTTATGTAGGTGTAATTAATTTTGGAATAAAATATGTATCACTAGATATGTCATTTATTAACATTGTTGGTTTGTATAATCAAGAAGTTATTGTATTGTATATTTAAATTTCTAACCTACAAAATGACATAAATAGTGGTTTTACAGTATATTGAATAGTTTTAAGGTGAAAAGTTCAAAAACAGCACAAATAAAAAAGAGATTAAATAAGTTATTGCATTGAATATCTATTCGATAATTTATTAGAGTGAAAAAAGCAATGCAAATATGCCAACAAAATTTCTAAGAATGTAAAAAACTTGACAACGAATTATTTATTTTCTTTAATTATTTACATTAAGAGAAAGGCTAAGGAGGGCAGTTGCGTACTTATTAAAGTTGGTGCCAAAACCAGAAATCATTTTCTGTGCAACAGAATTCACCATTTTTGTTATTACTTTTTTCTTTCTTTTATGAGCTATTTAACTGATCTAAACGTCACTTTTAGATTTGAGACTTTATTCACAATATATATTAGTATTTTATTTTGTCTTCTCCATTTCTTAATTATATTGTAAGTTTTTTTAATCTTACAAATTATGTAACAATGCAAAATTGTGTATTAAATGTAAATAAGTATTAAAAACATTTTGAACTTTTCTCCAAGCAGAATACAAAAGCTAACACTACTAACTATAGTTTATATTAGTAAATAATGTAGAACTTAAGCAGCACTAAAAAAGCATAATGCTTACCCCCAGCAACTCTCCATGGGATACGGCATGGCCCTTCATGCTTTTTTCCTTTTTTTACCTTTTTTACAAGATTTATATTTTTAATTTGTTTGACCATTCCAAATCACCAAAAGTACCGGAAAAATATCGCAAGGAAAACGGAACCTGTCAGTTCAGAAGTGCCATGCTCTATCTACCCTGCTCTTCCTTTCTCGAAACGCAGATCAGTTTTTTACGAGCGAAAACCGGCCTGCAACGTGAACAGTTTTTTAAAGGAATGTCATTGATTCTAATTTAATATTTGACAAAATCCACTACTAATAAAAAATTAGTTTTGCCAACTAACGTTTTGATAAATCAACGGAAGTTTTAAATTTATAGTAAATAAAGTTTTTTCACAAAACTATCATATGCAATTTCACGATAAATGACAAATATTAGCTTCAATATTCGCTCAAACCAAAAATATACTAATTGATTAATCATTTAATTTACGATTCATTAGATATATATATATATATATATATATATATATATATATATATATATATATATATATATATATATATATATATATATATATATAACGTGACAGAACTAATAAAAAACTAATATTTTGTTCTAAGTTTGCTTGATTAAGTAGATCCTAAATATTTAAGAAGGATCATAAATCTGTATTTAAACTCTAGAACGTTTCAGGTCTGGTTTTATTTTTGTATTTTTAAAGAACTTTCAAGTATTAAGTTAATATATTTTTGTAAATGGTTTTTGGCGTCAAATACTTTTTCATTTATTTTGTGGTAAATTAAACGACATGGAATAATATATGTTGAATATGTCACTTATCCGCTAGAGTTGAATCATTAATAGAGAATAATATTATAATTGTATTATAAAAACATTTGTATATAATAATAGTTATAGGGATATTTACATAGTAGTTAAATATATATTTTTCTAACTAAATTCCCTTTTATATTCATTACGATTTCCATCCACCTTGGACTGGCAGTGTCTTTAAATCATGTGCCTACCTCATCTGTGGTCTTGCTTTGGGGCGTTTTGATTCCCAAATTGATGTTCCAGGGTCTCCAGTATAGAACTTGTTTGTTCCATTTATCGTCCTTCTGCCTTATGTTATGGCCTGCAAATTTCGCCTTGCCATCGCTCTATGGATCTTCTCGAAGTCCCTTCCAATGGAATTAATTTTTATGCACTACATCTTTACAACTTGAAAGTGTGCAAAACTTACTTTTTATTGGGACGACTGCAACAATTATAAATAAGCGATGATTATTAAACGTAAATGGAAGGAAATCGTTGAGTACAATTTTTCTAAGAGTGTCTAGAATTCGTTCGTAAACTGCGTAATTATAACCTTCTAATCGTGCCTTTACTAGGCGTAAAAATAGCCAAACAACATAAAATGTTTGTGTCCAAAGATAAAGAAGCTATTTGCATAAATAAAGATTATCTTGTTGGTCTGATCGTCTTAGCACTGGTGTGATAATAACTACAACGATGGGTGTGTGCCTATATTTCTTCTTCTACTTCAGAAAACAGAGAAGTCATAACTTGTTGGCGTTATCAGGTGGAAATTGAGAACCACTTTTACGGCTAATGATGTAACAAAAAAGCTAACGAGAGTAGATGAGAAAAAGCTCGTTTCCAAAAACTTTACGAAGACCACGTTGCTCAATTCGAGAGCTTTTTTAGGAATGGATAAGGATATAGTTGATATAGAAGTGGCAGATAAATTTTAATTGGTAGATAACGGATAAATAAATGAAAATTAGATAATAAAAAGATAATAATTTGACAGTAGGAAAACACGGAATACTAAATGCAGCTAAACTGCAAAAATTAGGATGCCAATAAGCCTTTCCTTGAGACTTATAGAGGGACTCGAGATAAAATCATTTAAACATTAGATTGACATTTCGTTTGAAGACAGGAAAAGCAAATCCGAAAACATATTAAAGAATCATCAATACAAAACTATAAAAATCTACATATTTACCCATAAACTAAAAGAATAATTATATCTTCAATAAAATACTTCGAAAAAGTTATGTCGTCTATAAATTAATATTACTCAACTTTAATAAAAGAAGATCATCAAAAAGCAATAAACTTCAAAACAATTGCATTTATTCGTCGTGTTTAAATATAGACATATAATATCATCAATGGACCTATCTAAATAAATTAAGGCCACACGATTAGTTGATAGAATGGATGATTCTTAAAAAAAACGAATTCGTCATTATTTAAAATTTTAAATGTGAAAAGGAGACCTCAATTTTTTTATTTAGCCAAAGCTTTTAGTTTATACTTGATACTATAGTATAAAAAAGGAATATCTATAACTCCTATCGTCAAATGTGGCACCGAATACTATAGTAATTCAAAAAATTGTGTAACTTTGGAAAAAAATGTGCTTGATAGAAATTTATGTATAAGATAAATTACACATCTTCAATTTAATTATATATAAAAAAAGATATAATTATTCCTAAAAATCATTAACTAAAGATAAAAGCAAAAAAATAGTCAATAACGCATAAACACTCACTTTAACTGTTCAATAGCATTCGAAAAGGGATGAGGGTTGATGATTTTAAAATATCTTTATATCTCGTCGTCAATAGCCAGATGGTAGGTAAAGGGCGGAAAGAAATTGTTTCTTACTATTGGGATTAATTGCATAAACAAAAGTTGATATTTCTTACCACAAAAATGTGAGTTTCACCACAATTAAACAATTAATATTTCGATAGAAGAATAAGCCCTGACGACCGAAGTCGTATTATTTCCTTTATAACTTCGGGAAAAGCTAATTACATTTTGAGAGGGGTGTACAGTTGTGTTCAAAGTGAAGGTTTGTTCCTATGTGAGAAAGAAATTTCACAATTTTTATCTTAATTGTGCCAGAACTAATTAAACCTTAAGAGAGATTATAGGTAAGATTAACACTTTGAGTAAAGTAGTTTAAGAAGGGAATGTGCACGTCTGCATGGGAGAGTATGAATATAATAACCCAGACAGAATTCATTATAGGAGAGGCTGAAAATAATGTCTTGCAGACGCAGGAAGGACTATCAAAAACTGTCTACGAAATATTGTAATACAGCACCGTCAAAAGTTTTCAAATTTAAGACAATTGAACTGTTACAATGATTCTAATTGTGGTCTCTCGGATGAACAATCATCGCTCAGCAATCATCGTGACATTTTTATTTCGTATTATGTTTCTTTTTCAACAGACGGTTTCTTGTGAAATAAAATATTCGATTTAATTTGGTGTATTAATGTATAAAAATATCTGTAGTCTTTTAAATATTTTACAAGAGCTATCAAAACAAGCAGCATTATACCATCCTTAAATGTAACGAGCTAGATTTTTTGTATATGTAAAAATGGGATAAATAATTAATTTAGCACACGATTATTTTAATTTAACACTACTTTTATTAAATTTACCTGTACATACATAATCCAATAGTAAAGTTTAATCTGTTATGCTTCTCTATGTTTCTATATTTAATATTTACAATAAAGCTTAATGATTCAACTCAGCTCTAGATTAGTAGGCATTATAGGAAGGGCAATGAGATGGACATAAATAAAATATTAATGATATAATTTATAAAAGAAAAATTTTTAGTTACTGAAAGAATATGTAATAATAAACTTATAAACTTATAAAAAAATATTTTTAATGGAATTAATCAATATGATTTTCAGAAACTAAAATTTTTTCTTAAGAAGTATTATCCAAATGGACAGCACATATTGGATGGTAGCTCTCTGTATAGTAGCTTATAGAACAACCCAACAACTGGACGAAACCAGCCAGAGGTTTGTCTTAGTTTAGATCCTGGTTCCCGATCAACGCATCCCATTTTGAAGAGAGGAGGCGAATTTTTGTAGCTCCTTAGACCGATTTTACATTTTTGAGAGAAATAGTAATATTTTTGATGTTTCTCCACCTGTATATTGTGTATATTTTTGTAGAAGCAGTACGATTATATTTTCCCCTGTGTATTGTCGAATCCTACAATGACTTATACAATCCTTGGGCCTTTTCTGAAAAAGAGGCTTCCTATGTTTCACTGTAAGAATGTATTTAAAACATGTTTTAATACAAACTATTAGCAATACTACAAATATAACGAATACCATGTTTATTTAAGATAATAAATACGAAAATAATTTGAAGAATTGATAGTTTAACAAAACAGTTAGATGGTCAAATAAACTTTATCTCAATAGGATGATATCCTCAAGGATCAAGATAAATTGCAATTATAAATTATTAACAAAGTTCTCTGTTTGGCATTAATAGCATTCGGTTTATTTAGCTTGACATTCTGTTATTTTTTTGTTATTTATTTCTGGCCTTCCACACTTTATATTCCTCTTATGGATCTTATTCATCTACTCAGGCAAGGCATTACTTGTCCCGTGCACTAAGTCATGAGATATTTGTATCAAACCATGTCATTTCATTAAACTTTAAAATAGGATATTTTCTTTGGAACGTTTCTTTCATCTGTAGGAATTCCTCTTCGATCTCATGCATGAAAGTCGAGGTCACATGCTGTGGTTTATTAGATTCAGAGTCTGTGTAGATTTTTTTCACTCGTATTTTATACAGTAGAAATCCATAACTCGACTTTCTTTACATCTTCTTCAGCCTTCTTATTCATTGTTGGACATAGGCCTCATCCAGTTGCTTTCACGCTTCCCTATATTTTGCAATTCTCATGATTTCCAGCCATAGCTGTATGTATCGTCTATCAATCTCTTTTGGGTCTTCCCCGCTTCTTTTTGTTTTTCGAGGTCTCCAGAATGTCACTTTATGAGACAATCTGTTGGTGTCTTGTCTTGCTACATGTGCTATCCACTGCCATCTCAATGTCGCTATTTTTCCCATAATGTCGGTTACTTTAGTTCTTCGACGTATTTCGGTATTGAAAATTTTGTCTCTGAGGCTTATATTTAACATGGCCCTTCTTTACATCGAGGAACTTAAATATTTAAATTAATCTAATAAATCTAGGTAATCTATTTAAATTTATTTTGTTATTTGTTTCATTGATTTTACTGTACTTACTTTTCTTCTGTGTATCTAATCACAGATATGTGAGAAGTAACTTTTTTTACTGTTTTTGTAGTGAACATGAAATTGGTGTAATGGAATGATCCTTGTAATATAGAATTTTATAAGATTGCTGGTTTTGAACTAAGTATTTATATAAAAGAGCGTATGAAAACGGTATTCGTTATATAAAGTATATGAAAATTGTTACATAGTCACCACAAATTATGGTAATTTTTTACAAAATTCAGCAAATGAATATGCTTAAATATATTTCAAGAGTGATCAAAACTTTTACTCTTTTGTCTCCACTATTCCTGTCAATGTTATGACTGTGCAAGCTTTATTAATTTTCCATTTTTATATTTTCTACTAACTGGCTGTCTTTGCGTTTGTATTTTCGTTGTGGATTACCTGATATATGTATTATTTGTTTCATCACATACGCACCTTTACTAATATTAGTTCTATATTTATTCTGGTTGTTACTTATACTTTTTCTCGTAGAAGAGTTCTTTACTCTAGTCTGTTAGCAACTTGATAGTTTTGTATACAAAAAGTAAAAGTAGCATGATTTCAGTATTGTAACTTTTTCTATTTATTAATTGCTTAATTTTCTGTAGATCTCCGAATTGAACAGCCAAGTAAACGACCTTAGAGGCAAATTGTAAGTATAATTTTTAGTAATATTATATATAAAAAGAACATTTAATGTACTACTAATACAAATTTACTAAATGAACCGATACAACGGAACATTGAGTGACTTGGCAAAACTCTTGAACGTAACCACCAATTAAAGGTTATTCACTGTAGAGGATTGGTATCCTGATGGAATTTCATTAACTCTAGTTTAATACTAATATTATTATATCCTTTAGGGGCTCAATACCTCCGCAATTTTCAATTTTTCATCAAAAATGATAACGACTGAAATTGTTACAAAGGAGATTTCCTCCAATTTCTTTTTTACAAATTTTTTTGGGCGGTCTATATTTTCCGAGTTAAGGCGGAAATCGTGTATGGGGGCAGGAAGCATAAATATTTAATTACCTTGTTTATTATTAACTTTACAACATCAATTTACATTAACGAAAATAAAGAGAATTATTTTGTATACAATTTTTATTTCTTTAATTTGTTATACTATAATCAACATTTAAGGTCCTAAGCCTAGTGAACCTTAAGAGTGACGTCATTAGCTGCAATGTATAAACAACAACCATCCTTACGACCCTAAATATTGATTTTAGTAAAAAATGAGAAATGAAAATTGTATAACATATAATTCTCTTCATTTTTGCTTATATACATTTATGGCGTAGAGTTAATAATAAAAGCGATAATTCAATATTTATTCCTCTCCCCCTCCCGCAGTATTTTCCACCGTAACTCGCAAAATATCAATCGCACGAAAATCTTTTTATAAATATGGTTCTTCCTTAATATCAAGATGGCGGCGAACGCAACAGCAGAATTCAGTCGAGGTTTTAAATTTACACTCTTATTGGTTCCACCCCCTGTAGGGTTAGAATCATAAGCCGCTGTAGCAGCTCGCCGTGCAAGGTCAAAGATACTGTCAAATGACTGAACTATAACTGGTTCGTGAAAAGAAAAAGTGAAATAAATACACGGCCATCACGAAAAGAGCAAGAATAATGAGAATCACACATAATCGAAAGAGATAAAATGATGACCTAAACACAGAGAAGTCAGGTGTAAAAAGATATTTTCAGTAGGCCTATTTTTCTAAAAGAAAAGAAGAACAGAAGGAAAGAGAAAATAAATTAAATAGCATATCACAAAATTTTGGGACTAATACTTCTATTTTCAGTTCACTCTCTTACACGAACGCAACAAATGGCATTAAAGTAATAAGGCATTTTTGTCATAATTTAAGGAAACCTCAGAATAAAATTCAAAAGAGTTGTATGACATTTTCTTACATATATCTTAATTACCTCAAATACGAATATATTATCAACTTGGTATTTATTATTGTCAATTATCATTTTAGCGTCAAACCAACCTTGAAGAAGGTATCTAAATACGAAAACAAATTTGCCAAACTTCAAAAGAAGGCAGCTGAATTTAACTTCCGTAACCAACTCAAAGTTGTCAAGAAGAAAGAATTCACCTTAGAAGAAGAAGACAAAGAAGTAAGTACATACACACTATTGAAACTCTCTTGTTGAATGTAAATAAAAAAAAGTTGGAGTATAAATGACTAAAATAATCGTAGAAAAATTGGTATGAATAAATTTTCAAACAAACATAATAAAAAAAAGTACCAAAAAGATATTTCTATATTATATATGCGATTATATATCGTTCACCTAGGTTACAACTCATATGATCGAATAATTATTTTTTGTTAAAATAATGTCTTGTTGAAAATATTTTGGTAACCAATATCATATAAGGTAACAAAAAAACACAAATTACTGCGTAATAACCTACTTTTAACTATTACAATATTGTACACAAAAATAATTGAAAATTATTTCATTTTCACCGTTCTGCTAGTTTCATAAAATCACCATGTTGGGATGAAAACTTAATATCCTCAATAAGGCATTTGTTAAATCATTTTAAGTACAGCACTTTTCATATTGTCCTTGTCAAATTAACATTTTTAATAATTAACTGTCTTTGTTTCAAACAAAGGGGCCAACGTACCTACTCATTTTCTAGGGGAGAAAAGTCTGTACCCCAACGACCTAACTTGTAAGTTAGATGTAGCTAAAATTAATAGAAATCTTTAACACTGTCGTTGCCACTTTATTATTAATATTCTCTTAGGATTCTCAAGTAGTCTGTCTTTAGTTATGAGTTGTTAACCTTGATGAACAAGAAAAATATCTACCTACCACTAGAGTTTGCTAGAATATGAGTTTATTTTTCGCAGACCAAGAAATCTGATAAAGCTGAGTGGCAGACGAAGAAATGAACTACATAGTTAATCGCCGTTATTTTTTTGAATTTTACATGTTTCGACTTTTTTGGATTATACACACACTACACTAATAAAATTTATTTTAAAACTCTACTACGTATTTTTACTAGTAGTTCAAACAGCACCCGGCTGATATTTTTGACACACACACGTGTACCTTTTTTATTTTTGGGCTTTTATAATTTTTCTTTTTTAATGGAAATAAGCCTTTAGAACAAGGTGAGCTACGCTTTAGCTTTGTTGTGGCGACAGTTTTAGATCAGTTCCCGTAGGTATACAGCTTTAAACATATTGAATTTGTACATTTCAAAATTTGCTAAAAATAATAAGTAAGAAAACCTCAGTAACTGTCATAGTTTAATATAGTATATTTTTGCCAACAAACTGGTATTTTTCTATTTTTTTTTTACTTTCTATAATGTATAGCAGATTTGTCTGTATTCCCTTTATGTTCTTTTTGACTTACACTCTGGGTTATACTTCCTTGAGTATATTTTATCTAGTATTCTCAGTGTGTCCATATTATTCTACTACCCGTTATTTTCAAAAGATATACTTGATAACTTGATTTTTAAATAATCTATTAGTAACATATAAGTTTGCAGTCTGCATAATAACATATTTCAGCCTGAAAACTTTCTTCTTCTTAACGTGACCTGTCAAGTCCCCTTGACGTTGGCAATTAACATGGCGAAACTGTCTCTGTCTCGAGCTATTGTAAAGAGTTGCTCAGCTTTCCTTATTCCTGTTCACTCCCTGATATTCTTTAACCAAAAGGCCTGCTTTCTACCAATTCCTCTGCGTCCTTCGATTTTACCCATCATAATAAGTTGAAGAATATTATATCGGTCTCTCTTACTACATGTCCAAAATAGTCCTGAAAACTTTATTGGTGGTAAATGGTATTCCTATTGTGTATTGGTTGATAGGGGTTCCATTTTAAATACAATAGACGTGAGGCTAACTTGCTATCTATTCCTGCGCTCTAGATAAAAGCCACAACTTTTATTTGGAGTTTAAGGATCTCTTCCAACTATCCCTAAGTCGACTACTTTTATATGGATGACATTATGCAACTTTACTACCTTCTCCTTTCTACTCCTGTTGGAAATTGGAAATAATTTTGGCAATTATAATTTTGTTGGTTACGTATCTGAATAGTTCAATTAAACTGCATCCAAACCATTCATAAAGATTGCGTTACCACGAGATTTTACGTCTTCCTCCGCTTCTTCTGCCTTTAATTTTTGCCCTGCATTATATTCCTCAATAGTTCGTATGTTTCACCACTTATGATGTGCCCCAAATATTCCAACTTTCTAATGTTTATGGAATTTAGAACTTAACCTTGTTTTCCTACTTGTTCGATTACTTGTGCGTTTGTTTTGTGATACATCCATTATATATGTCAGTTCATTTTCAACTTTTAACTTTAACTGTTTAATTCCATTTCCACTCTGTCAAATGCCTTCTCAAAAGCAATGTAACAAGCATTTACTTCCTGATTCATATCTAGACATCTCTGCAAAAAACACTTAGTGCAAACAGTATCCAATATTCCCAGACCTTTCCTAAATCCCATTTGTGTATTACTTATGCCTTCATCTAATTTTTTATGTATTCTATCTTGAACTACTTCTAAAAAACTCTCTGTCACTGGCTATTTCTTTTAACGCTGATAGGTCTTTTGCAATTTTCTATAATTTGATTGATCCATCTTCTTGGGATCTTTTTCGTGATGTTCGGCCATCTCCATTTGTTTTGATATTAAGTCTTTCCATATTTTGTGTCTGCTCTCATAATATATCCAAAGTATTTTAATTGTTGGAGATGGATTTTGCTGGAAGCCGTCTGCTGACTTTTAGTTAATTTAAATTTGAATTGCTTGTCCTTTAGTTAATTTAAATTTGACTTACTTGTCCTGTGGTCGATTCACGGAATTCGTAACATTCTTCTCTAATAGAACATTTCAGTTGCGTTCATCTTTCTTCTTTCTGTTTGTCGTGTAGCGCTCAAGATTTTCATTAGTATGTTAATATTGGGATATTAAGCAGTTTATTAACGTCATTTTTATAGTTTATAATATTTAAGAGTCTTAATCTAAGAACTTGTTCTAAACGAAATTCGTTTGAAAGTGTATCAAGGACTTTAACGAAGTTAGGTGTTGTGGTACAGCTATTTCTTTTAGTATCTGCCAAAAGTGTTGCCATTTGACCCTATCGAATGCTTTGGGATAATTTATAAAAAAATAGTGGGATATTTAGTTCCCTAGTTTTTTTCTATTATTTGTCTTATGTTTAGAAAGTACCTCTACCTGTAGCAAATTAGTTTGATCTTGGGGGATATTTCCCTTTATAGGAAGTTTTCAGCCTCTTATTGATTATGTGTAGCAATATTTTTCTGGCATGTGAGATAAAGAAGAGGATTTTATAAATGTCGTATTTAATGAATCTGTCTTTTTTATTTATTGTGGTTATTGTAGATTTTATCCAGTCGTCAGGTCATTATTTGGAACGCCTTATTTTGTTACAAAGCATGTGAAGCAATTTTATTCCAGATTTTTCTGTATTTTATTTATTATTATTTATTTACAATTTAGTTCATATCTTCTATAAACTTTAACTTAGCATGATCTTAAAGTTAAAATGTACAAATTTCTTTAAAGTTACAAAAATTGGCTCTTTTATCATGCAAACAACATAGTTTTTAATAGTAAAGTTATTAATAAGTTTAACAGAACATGTGGATATTTGGTGTATTTCTCTTTAAAAAATCTACTTTTATTTATTGAAGTATCAAAGCCATTTTTGTGACTAAATAAAAAATGTTTAAAGTAAGTTTCCAAAATTAAAAAGAATCGAAATAATCTAGCCCTAGTATTTGCTTGTAGCTTATTTAACGTTATAAGTTCTAGTTTTACTGTTTAACTAACTTAAGCAAATGATACCAGTTGTAGTTCCAAGCATCTTAAGGCTTTATAAATAAGATTAGTACAAAGTAGTGTAATGGTTAACAATAACCACTTGGCATATTTCCATTTCAGATATAATTGTAGTTAACTTTTGTTATACTCGTAAGTAAAATTAAGAAATCCCTTATGCGTTTAGGTGTCCTATATTTTATATTTAAATATTTTGATTTTTGTACCACCACGAGATTGAAAAAAGAATATTTTATTTATATTATATCTAATACGTACAAATTATCAATAAACAACGATATTATAATATAATGACGTAGAAATAAAAATGAAAATTATAATACCAAACATAGCAACTGTATTACCAATATTTTTATTTCCAAGCCAAACATTTGATAGCTATAACAGAAGCAACATTACTATTTTACTAAAATAAACCGGCATGTTTAACTGGTAACGTTTTTGAAAGATATGGAACGTGATTTTTATGGCCTGCAAAACGAAATATGGGGCTTTATAAGAGGTCAAAGAACGGAGGTACAGAAACTCATAGACCCAAAACATATGGAAAAGGATATGTGAATTGACTATCTTAAAAAGCTTTATGTAGAGAAAAAACAAATCTAAAGCTAGAAACATCAGAAATTATTACAAATGAAGAAGTTAATATAAATACACAAAAAGTTCTAAAATCATTTGAACAGTTAAAGAACAGAAAATCTGTAGGTAAAGACGAAATACCAAACGAGTTACTAAAATATTGTGAAGCAACAATAATAAAAAAATTAACAAAATTAATTTAAAAAATTACGATACGCAATAAAATGCCGGAATAATGAAAAACTAGCGACCTTATGCTACTATTCAAAAAATGCGATAAAAAACAGCTAGAAAACTAGAGGCATAAACTTGTTCAATACTAACCCAAAACTTATAACAGAACTAATATAATATAATGATAAGTTTAGCAGATGATCAACAGGGTTTTTGTACTGGAAGATCAGGTAGAGATGTCATATTTGTCATAAAGCAAATTACTGAGAAGTTACTAGAGAATAATAGACCATCATTTCTGTATCTGTATACTGCAGACATTCTACTCCAATAAAAGGAATACTAGTTTCCTCCTTAGCAATACCAAGATTCTTAGAAATCTTATTTATAGTAATTTTGTTAGTTATACCAAAGTTACTTTCTTGGGATTCGCCGGTTTCTTAAGGAAGTGCTTGCATTTGCAGGTTGTTACGAGCTTGTGTTGATGTTAACTCACAGCTTGATGTGGATTATAGAATTATCCATATTCACAACTTTATGCCCATCATCTTTAGTGAATTTAATTAGTATTGCCGATATTGAAAGGGCAGATTAATATTTGTTAATCTGATAAGAAAACTTATTTAAAAGAAAAAAACCTTTTTTTACCCAGAAAATTCTTTTTATATTATTCAGTACAGCCTTTTTTTGCCTTAATACAACGATTCCTGCTATTTTTTAGCTTTTTTATGCCTACTCATTAATACTATTCTGGAAGTTCTGCAAAATAGTCGATTTTCATAAATGATGAGCTATTTTTTGTGAGATCACATATTTTACGATGCTAAAAGTGGTCATATGATCATATTTTTGGTCAAAGGTTAGCAAACTCGTCAACCATCTGCAAGAATATTTTTTCATAATTAAAAATTCGTCCAAAATATGAATTTTATCGACTTTCTTTACATTCTCTGGTGTTACTGTAAGGGAGAATCGTCTAGTACGTGGTTCGTGCAATGTAAATATACGAATTCTGTAAAATTCATGGAAGCAAAATTTGACAGTGCAGTCTGAAGGAGCATTAATTCCATAATATTTATTTAGCTTTTATTTTGTTCGCCATTTTATTTCTCAAATAATGATGTTTAATGTGAAATCGAAAATCGTTGTTTTCTATGTGCGTTAATTTCTCAAACACGTCAAGTTGACATTTTTTCTCAAAAACAGTTAGACTTTTAAGAATGTTTTTTGTTGAGATTACAGCGCCCTAGTCTGCGAAGGAGGTTACTTATCAGACCACCAGATATGACAATTATGTTGCCACTTATTCAGGGAATGAAATCTTTCTATTTTACGAGTATAATAGAAAGTATTACTAAAGATCTAGAAAATAAATACAATAATCGTTTAAATAAAATAATATAACGTTTTAACATAACTACGCTAGAAATCATCTAGATATTTGCTGTGTTTTAATTTATATTTTGGTACTAATTAAATAGTTTTATTAAAGTAACTTTCTGTTCTCTAGTTGATAGTGTCTCTGCAAAAATACAACTTTTTAAATTCGATTTCTGTATTCTTTCGGCAGCTGTTTCAGCTTACCTGTAACAGTTGTAACTAGTAGCTAAATTCACTTTTCCGCATAACATAAGCTTCTTTGCACTTTGCACCTAAGCTTTAGCATATACCTGCACCGTCTGTATCTGTCTGCACTTTTCTTACAATTGACGATAAACCAATACACTTACTTGTTTGTTACACACATGAGGAATGGCCAGTACACTTTAATGTATGCTGTGTAAACTTGGACATAGCACTAAGCACTAAAATTCAATATATTTATATAAAGCGTCTGATTGTATATTAAGCATCTAGAACCATCCTATTATAAGCATTGTCTAATCGGTGATTATCTCTAAAGCATGTTTTATACTCTAACATGTTTGCTTTGTTTATATGTCAATATCATCCCAGAAAATAGTAGACAATAACAATCATGTCGATTTAACCATAAAAAAGTGGCTGTTTGGGTCTCATTTGGTTAGTATCTAAATTCTGGTGCTATATATCTGTAATATTTAATTAATGTCTTTCTTACGATATTCATATTTTAGATAAAAATAGCATGAAAAAACTTCAATGTAGAATTATATTTTCTTGTTGAAACTTTATTAAAAAGGCGTTTGGAAAAAATATTGTCTGTTCGATAAAAAAAAACTACAATTTAATTTAATTTCTACCATTGACGATTCGTCTGAAGCATAATAATTTTGTTATTCTCCAATATGGTCGCGTCTGAAATTTCTTCAAACCCTTTATGCTAAAATCGTTTAATGTTGCCGTTTCCCTTTTCTTAGAAAACGTTTTTTATTTTGAAATGTACGGTGTAACATTTAAATACCTATTATAATTTTTATATGGTTTAAATATTTTTGATAATAAATAATTTATCATTAATAATTTCCTTTCTTTGATCTGAATAATTTCTCTAGTAATAATTTGCGAAACTACAATAATTTGATCCGGTTTTTAATTGATATGTGAACAAATTTTATTTCAAAATAAATGAGATTTGGTGCTTAATGACAGTCTATGTTATCTCCATTGGGTTGCAGGAAGCTCCAGTAGATTTAGGGAGTATCATACACGAAGTGGTCCATACAGACCTCTTCTCGATTTTATCCTCATTAAATTTGAGAGTTACTGCAACTTAATGTCAAGTATTTACCAAGTTTTAATATTCTTTTTATTTCGTTTTACAGAAGAAACCAGACTGGTCAAAGAAGGGAGATGAAAAGAAGGTACAAGAGGCTGAAGCATGATTTTTCTCCTTTGTTAAAGCCCTTTTGTCAACAACAAGGGATATTTCGTTATTTCGATGATCCCATCGTGATTTCGATATTTTAAATATATTTATTTTATTCATTACTTTCCAGACTAAAAGAGTGTCTGTCCGCATGTATATTATTTGTTTATGTATAACTTATTAAAAAATGTGAAGTATTGTATATGTTATGTTTGTTATACCCATTTACCTTATAATGTTCCTTGTTGCATTTTTCTTGTTTTTTTTAATCTTCAGTTTTATTTTATTTAATAAACTTATCCTTCCCTAAAAGAGTTGCCCCCTGTTTTGATTTTTTTTTGTTTATTTTAATATTATTTTTTTTGTTATGTATTTTTATTTTATGTACACCAAAAAGTATGGCATGATGAATTTCATTGTGAGGACAAAGTATCAGTGTCCAAAATTAGTGAAGTTGTATATAGGAAGAAGACCTATATTTCCATAAGGCCAAATATAAGTATTATAAGGAATAGTAGTAACAGATATGATAGAGATTAGAGAGGGAGCGCGAGGCGGGAGTTACGTAGTATATACAAGTTAATTGTAAGTAAAAAATACTAAAGGTTGTTTGTAAGAAAGTGAAATAAGAGCGAGGTTGGGGTATGGTACTGCTTCAATAGAGGATTTATGACGAAATGGGTATTAGTCTAACTAATTAACTTAATTCGAAATTGTTAGGCAATAGGGGACAAAAAAAACGGATATTGCGAAGAAATAAGAGATGTGAGAAAAAAAGAAAACTCAAAAACAATAAGAAGCAATAATAGAAGTGAAAGAGTGGCAAAACAGACGAGACGACAATAATGCATATAAATAGGGATCTATTGGAAACATCCTAAAGAAACTGTGCGGTAGTGGTACAGCTGGTGGGTGTCACAATTGAGATTGTTGGGGATGCAGCATGTTAGGACGAGAAGACTCTACGAAAGAAAGCAACAGCGTGGGTATCCGAAGAAATAAAAAAAGCAAGTAAAAATTGTGAAAATGCTTGAAACAAATATCTGAAAATAAAATAAATGAGAATTACATATAAATATAAAAAAGTGAAAAAAAAATAAAAAAAAAGAAAAACGTATAGGTAAACAGTAGGCAAAGGAGAACAATTGGGAAAATTCGGGAAAGAAAAGGAAGAAATAGGGTAAAAGAGCAAAAACCATACTATCTACACAAACTCTGAAGAACGATAAAAACAGAAAAAAACAAGAAATGGCGAGAGCATCAAATAGAAAGAAAAATGGAGGGGAAATAATAACCCAAATAAAAGAAATAGTTAAAAGGTGACAGCAGGAGTTTCGAAGAATGTACACATGTTATAAAAACCAATGAATGAATTTGGTCTGTCACAGAATACAAAGAAGACCAAATTCATGATAATTACAAAGAAACGTATCAATAATATCAACTTACATGTAGGACAGAATCTCATTGAACGAGTACAAAATTACAATTACCTCGGAACAAATATTAACGAGTCAAACGAATACACCAGAGAAATAAGAATAAGAATAGAGAAAGCCCGCAGTGCATTTAACAATATGAAACAAATGTTGTGTAGCCGTAACCTAAGCCTAAAGCTGAAAATACGAATGCTTAAATGTTATGTTTTCTCGGTCCTGTTATATGGGGTGGAGGCATGGACACTAAATAAGCAATGTATGGGTAAGCTGGAGGCATTTGAGATGTGGGCGTACCGAAGAATGTTAAAAATCTCCTGGAAGGATAAAATAACTAACCAAGTGGTATTAGACAGGATGAACAAACAAAAGGAGGTCGTATTGAGTGTTAAAATAAGGAAACTACAGTACCTGGGACATATTACACGTGGGAATAAATATCAACTGTTGCAACTAATTATGCAAGGAAAGATTGAAGGTAGGCGCAGCATAGGTAGGAGAAAAATGTCATGGTTGAGAAACCTCAGGGAGTGGTTTGCTTGCACTTCCATACAATTGTTCCGAGCGGCAGCCTCCAGGGTCAAAATTGCCATGATGATAGCCAACCTGCGTAGCGGAGATGGCACGTAAAGAAGAAGAAGATAAACCAAGACGACATTAATGAAGAACAAAATAATGTATTGGAAGATAACACAGAAAATTCAATAAACGAGGAAAACGAGAAGAAGCAATAAAAACGTTGAAGTATGAAAAAGCTTCTGAAGTGAACAGAATAACAACAGAAATTATAAAAAAATGGGGAAAATGAAGAACAAAAAATTTTGACACGAAACGGCAAAGAATCAAAGAATTTGTTAAGAAGTAAATTAAACTTTACTCCATCATATAGTACAAAAGTTTTTGATTAAATATATACCAAAGAAACATCGTGCAAAGACATGCAGAGATTGTCCTACAGTAAAGTCTTATTCGGTATCCATCTATTGAAAAAGAGATGCAGATATAACTCAAAATGTATACGTCTGCGCAATTCATTTTGTGAAGGCTTTTGACATAACACAATGCTAGGAACACTATCTTGGTTTGATTGGATGATAAAGGTTTGCGAATAATTACAAATCTATACTGGCATGAAGTGACAAGGAAGCATAAAGTTAAACAAGAACTGTAGTATGAAATACATATAAAAAGAGAAATGACACAATTCTGTATTGGCGACGTGCAAGTACATGGAGGGGATACGAGAAACGATCGTGCGCGAGTAGCGGAGAAATCTTGCATTTTTTACTGCACATTTCATAGATTTCATACATTCATATTGTCAATTGTCATATTTCATATTCGTTTGTTTATTTTAACTTTCTGTCACTGAAGAAAATAGGATTTAGGAAATGCTGTGTTATAAATTATAAAAATACAACAAAAAATTGTCAATTTAAGTTTTATTCGTTTCCAACTTCGAAGCACAAAGCTACTACAAAGAGAAAAGTAGATTTATATCATAAAAAAGCATAAGTAACGTAACCTAAATTATGTATTATTCTTACGCCCGATTTTAAAGTCAGTTTGAAATATATAATAAATAAAAATTCACTTTTAAGTGTAAATTTTAGTTTCATAACACTCACTTAGAGTTCATTTTAACCCAAAAATCAAGTTTAATGTTTAAATTTTATTTTTTTGAAGTTTACAAAAATGCATCAAGTTTAAGTTTTTCTGAAGATGCATTAAGATATATTCGCTGTCCAAAAGTTTACAGGAAAAGAATTAATTGTGATGATATCAATACCAATATGATGATATCATGGGCTTAACCTGCCAATTTATGCCTTAGCATTATTTATGGTAATTTATTTTTCTTAATTCTTCCACATAATTCTTCCATTCTTTTTTGACATTTGCCACTACTAAAGCTTTTCCCTTTGACTCAGTGCTTGGTTGAAAAGTTATTTGCTGATTTACTTTCTCAAATCCAGTTTTTATTATTGCCTCTATATTAACAGTAATGCTGTAATTTAATAATATATTTATTTGTATTTACACTACATACAACGTTTACCTTTTAATAACATACTGACATAACCTCAATCTTACTTTTTCTTCTTATTCTTTTTTGGGGCTACGTCCTTGACAGTTATCCGGTAACCTCGATCTAACATGAAAGCGCAGTAAATTTTGCTAATTTACGACACCAGGTGTCGCTGTTCCGAACTTGCACGGTCCCAATACTTTCGCCCCTACTCTTTAAATTATATTTAGAGGAAATATTAAAGAAAACCTAATGAAGAAAACAGAAGGTAATATTGTGAATGGTGTAACTGTGAACAATATTAAATATACGGCGATACCTTCGTGCTGGCCAAATGCAGGGAAACCCTTAAAAATCGAATGCATAAAATAAACCAGACCTGTAGGCAGTATGGACTACAACTTAACGTTAAGAAAAATGAATACATGATAGTTGCAAACAAAGTTTCATACAGAATGACGGTCTAAAAGTCGAAGTTGCCGTACTGAAAAGAGTGCAGACTCTCGTGTATCTCACCAGTTAGATCAAGAACTGAAATTCAACCACAGAAACTAGAAGCCAAATAGAACAAGCCCGAGCCACATTTCTAAAATTGAGAGCTGAGAGAATGAGAGATAAACTTTGCAGCCTCAATCTTAGTATTGACTTTGGCGTTTAAATAACGCATTGCTATTTCTTCCCAGTGCTACTATATGAAGTGGAAGCGTGGACCCTAAGTAAGGCAAAGCTTAAACGCTTAAAAGTCTTTATAATGTGGATATACAGATGACTACCATAGATAAGCTAGGTTGATAGTGTTAGAAATAAGGAGATCTTTAGACAAACCAAACAACTGATCAATATAATAAAGAGACGAAAGCTGGAATATCTAAGTCACATTATCAGACATCCTGAAAAATATAAACATTTTGATTTCATTATTCAGGGAAATATCCAAGATAAACGTGGTCCTAGTAGAAGAAGAACGTCGTGGCTGAAAAATACAAGATAACTGTACGGAAAACTGATAACATTATTATTTAGAGCTGCTGTTAAAAAAGCCAGGATAGCGAATATGGTAACCAAGATAATATCCCAATATCGACAGCGTTCATGGAACTATAATAAGAAGAAGATGGAAAGTTTGTAGCAAAAAGATAAAAAAGGTAATCTAAAAAAATGGAAATTAGCGATTCCTAGCTCCAAAAAGCACCGGATTTGTTGTCAATGGACCCGAAATACACAGAGCTTTAAAATAAGACCAGCAGATGTTTTCACAATCTTTCTCCATACATTAAGATAACACTTTCATCTATCTATCTGTATAAGGATTTTTACAGCTGTCGCCGCCGCTTCCAGTCCTTTCTGTTCTACCATTCTCCATCTCTAAGGTCTCGTCTTTCCATGGCCTCGTCCACTTCATCCCTCCATGATCTTCGGGGTCTATCTCTCTTCCTCATTCCCATTGGGCTCCAATCCAAAATCTTTGCTATCCACCTTGTATGATCTGTTCTTCTCACATGTATATACCAAATTAAACGTTTTTCTTCG